GGTGATGGAGATTAATAAGACCTACAGTTTGCAATTTGTAAACATATAAAATTTTTGTCAAACACCTGAATATATACATAACATAAATTAATTATATCAACTAACATATCAATTATATGTAAATTTTTAAATATCTTAGAAGTGTAACCTTCTTCTGATAAGAATTCCCTTAAAGTTTCTCCTACATGCTGCTCACTCACTTTGAGAGAACTTAGTACTTCTTAAAGCAGTGCACTTCATTTTGTTAACCACATAATTCTATGTATTGAAATAAAATGTACGTATTGATTTTTGCTTTTTCTTCCACAGTAACAAAATAGTCAACCCAAGAATGGAACATGTACTGCAACTTACTACTTGTCCCTTCTCCAGTCATTTGGCAAAAACACAGCTACCTCATCAGTGTATACTGAACTCAAGAAAGTAACTACCATTTGATCAGAGCTGACATACAGAAATTAAAATTTCATTGCCATCCCTAGTCTAATTTTTCCTACACATGTCCCTATTCTAAACATTAAAGACAAGTACCAAAGTTTTGTTATATCTCTATAGACTAAAAACCCAATTTTCACCTAGCTGTTTCATGTGTAACAAGAATTTTGTATTACTACCTTGGCAATTATTCACTCACTGGATAAGATTTTATAATGCATATCTAATTTAAGGTTGATCTGTTCCAATTCAAAGTTTTCTATTTCTCTTCAGCAAACCACCTTTTCTTTTCTTTTCTTTTTTTTGTGGGACTCTTGCAGGTGACTGGGGATTGAACTGGCGCTGCAGAGGCTGCGGGCAGCCTCGCAACCCAGTGCTCAACCACTGCGCCACCAGGGGAGGCCCTGGGAAACCACCTTTTCCCTCCTATCCTTAAGATACTGCTTAGTATTTGATTGTTAGACCTTTGTTTTCCTTCTTTTAAACTTTTACCCATTACTATCAAAGAATTTACCATAGGTAAATCCATGCCAATTCCCCTATAAAAACCTATTCAATTGCTTTTCAATTCACATCCTATAATGTATCAAGTAACCTGGTACCTACCTATGTTTGCTACTTTATTTCACACTAATCTTCAAACTCATGATTTTTATTCTTGTAACACATCACATTTTTGTTTATTTCAAGGGGTTGTATGCTTGTTCTTTGTTGGGAACAAGCTCTATATTTCTGCATATTTGGCAGCTTTTTACCCATTTAGGTCAGTGTAGCCTCATCAAAAGACTTTCCCTAAATAATCCATCTAAAGTAGAGTTTAATAACAATCAGGTAGGAGGAAGATAAAACAAATAAAAAAAAATACCTTGACACTAATAAAAAGGAAGATTCAAGCTACAAGAACCCATGCAAAAACGACCTACGGGGTAAGATAACTGCAATGCAGACAAGAAAAAAATTGTAAATAAACAAGCAATACTACACCTAAAGCAACTTGAAAAAGAAAGGTAAAGAAGATCCAGAGTAGTTGATATAAGAAAGGAAATAATAAAAATAGGAGCAGAAATAAATGAAAGAGATTTAAAAGACTGACAAAAAAATCACAAACTAGAAGTTGGTTCTTCAAGAAGACAAACAAAATAGGCAAATCTCTAACTGGGCTGACAAAGAAGAGAGAAAATATTAATAAACAGAATCACAATGAAAGAAATTATCAGAGTATAGACATGCAAAGGATTATAAGAGATTAAGATTACTATGAACTTTATGCCAAATAAATTTAATAACCTTGAAGTCATGGACATATTTCTGGATCAATACATTTTACCAAGACTAACCAAGGAAGGAACAGACGAGTTGAACAAACCCATCACAACCATGGAAATTGAAGCAGCAATAAAATATCTTCCCTAAAATAAAAGCTTAGGACCTGATGGTTTTACAAATGAACTTTTTCTATCTTTTAAGTAAGACTGAATGACAGGCGTGCTCAATTATAAATGTGCATTTATAATTGTGAAGGAAAATTAAATGCCTCAGAATTACTTAACAACAGTGTAAAATACCTACACACAGGATAGTTATAAAATGTTATTAAAGGAATTAGTGACAAAAGGAGATGGAAGGATAGCCCATGCTCACAGGAGAGAATTAATATAATCAAAATGACTGTCGTGTCTAAAATGATATACAAATTTAATGCACTCTCCACCAAAATCCACATATTTTTCAAAGAATGTGAGCCAAAAAATATAGAAATTTATATAGAACCACAAAAGGTCTTAAATTCTAAAAGCAGCCTTAAGGAAGAAGGAGAGAAACAGAGGTCATTGCATCTGATTAAACTTTACTATAAAGCAACACTATTAAAACACAACATGGTATTGGCACAAAAATAGATACACGGACAAATGAAACAGAACTCAAAGTCCAGAAATAAATTAAAGCATACACCAGTACCTAAAGTATATACTAGCACCTAATCTAACCACAATCATAAAATGGGGAAAAGATTTTCTCCTAAATAAATGATGTTGGGAAAATGGGAAAGCCACACATAAAGAATGAAGTTGGATTACATGCTAACCCCATACACAAAAATAAATTCTAAATGGATTAAAGATTCAGGCATAAAATCTGTAACAATAAAATACATACAAAGAAACACTGGGCCTCCCTGGTGGCCTATAGGTGAAGTCTCAGCACTACCACCACTACAGCCTGAGTTCAAGCCCCAGTCAGGGAGCTAACCCATTTGTGGAGCAGCAGACTTCTCCTGTCTTGCCCACTGCTCCCCTTAGCAAAACATTTCAGTAAATCTGCCTGTTCTGCTCCCCATTCTGTCTCTGGTGAACTCTCTTACCTCCCACGTCCCTGGCTTATACATTCCAGTTCTTCTACACAAAAACATATAAAATTTAAAAAAAAGAAAGAAACTTCGGTGTTATGTTTCATGATATCAATAATAAAAATATCTTTGGGACTCACTCTAAGGCAAGGGAGTTAAAACCAAAAATAATCAACTGGGATTACTTCAGGTTAAAAAGCTTCTACACAGCAAAGAAATACAAGATGATTAAACAAGCACCCTACTGAATGGGAAAAAGATATTTACACAATTTATAACTGGTAAGGAATTAGTATCTAAGATATATTAAAAACTCATAATTCAACAACAAAAATCAAATAATGCAATTACTAATTGGCAGTAGATATGAACTGATAAATTACTAAAGAGGATATCTAGAAAGCTAAAAGACATGAGAAAATGTTCATCATCACTCTTAATGAGGGAAATATAGATTAAAACTACAAGAAGATACCATGGCATATACCAAAAAGTCTCCCAAAATAAAGTGTTGGAGGGGATGTGGAGAAAAAGGAACCCTATATTACACTGTGATGGAAATATAAACTGGCACAACCATTATGGAAAGCAATCTAGATTTACCTTAAAAATCTAACTGTGTAAATACCATGCAGCCCAACAATCCCACACTTGGACATCTACCCAAAGAAGATAAAACTATCAAGACCAAAAACTGTATGTTCTACAGTGTTTATTGTAGCATTATTTAGAATAGTTAGAACATGGAACCAGTCTAAACTCGATTGACAGATGATTGTATCAAGAATTCTATTCAGTCATAAGGAAAGAGGAAATGAAATCATTTTCATTATAATGGCAGGAACTGGAGGGAATTATGTGTAGTAAAGCAAGTTAGAATGATAAAAAAAATAATGCACATTTACATAAGACAATCTGATATTGAAAATACTTAAAAAAAAAAGCACAGTAGACATCAATAAACATCTGAGGGATGTGAGGTTAAGAGAAAGAGATAGGAAGAAAGGGACAAGGGCGTACAAGAGTGGTGGTTTGGGGAAAAAATATAGTAAAATGGGATAATACTAGTAACTGATCTAAAGAATAAATTCTGAAAATCTAATGTACAGCAATGTGACTACGGTTAACAATGCATATACTGTGTATTTGAATTTGCCAAGAAGGTAGATCTTAAATGTTTTCACCACTAAAAAAGGAAAGAAATGGTAACCATTTACAGATGGATATTAACTTGATGAGGTGATTACAATGTATACATATATCAAAATGTCAGGTTGAACCTTAAATATATATAATTTTTATTTGTCAATTATATTTTAATAAAGTTCAAAAAAAAAAGAAATGAAAAGCAAAAAAAACCTCAAAAAACCAAAAAAAAAAAAAAAAAAAAAAAAAAAGAAAACAATTATGAGGCATGAGGCCCTGGCTATGAGATGCTGGCTATGAGAACAGGAAAGATAAATTGGAAAAGGAAAAAAGAAAAAATTGGAAAAATATTTTAAAGTAGAGGCTAGAACAAAAATCGTTTAACTCACATGATCATTAAACACTATGAATCTGCTTCCACTAATGTGATTTTTAAAATAACATGTGTGCCATCAATCTGAATGTTGATAAAAAGACTTAATATCTATATTTTTAAATACGATTATGATTAAGCTTTAATATCTCTTTCTCATACTCCAACAGAGGGATTCAAATCTAAATAATAAACTTACTATCACAGATTTGAATCTACTATAGACCAAGTTAATTTCTGCTAGGTTCTAGAGCTAGTTTACATTCCAGGCATTCACATCATTAATGAAACGCACAGAGACACATAGAGGATCCAGTGACTGAGCAAAACAGCTCATTTCAAATTCAGTTTTGATAATAAAACCTAGAAATGGTAAGTGAGAAGAATCACTTTAGTGGTTAAAGGGGACATTACTAAAGTAAAAGCATTTCAGTATTAGATCTCATCTAGTCCATCTTTAGGATGATACAATCTACATATTTTCAAATCACTGAACAATGAAAGCTACCACAGCAGTCAAATATTCACCACTATCTTAAGGCAAACATATATGACATCAGATAAGAAATTAAAAAAACATCCAGGTTCTTCTTTTATTGTTATGGAATTTCTCTAAGTGGTTCTAAAAAAAAATAAAACTTACATTCAGAATGAATTATATGCATAATGAAATTTCAAGTAAAAAGTGTCTCATCTTACCCTGTCTAGCTCCAGTGTAAACTTCTGGTCCCATGACTGATTAGAAATGGGTTTCCAGCTAGTCTGACCAACCACAGTATTATCTAGCTTCAAAACTGCACAGACATCATCTGTAATTACAAAATTATAAACTTACTTAAATATTTATAAACTTTTAAAGCAGAAGTACCATTGTTTAAGAAAATAAGGTTTTCCATAATCAATACCAAATCATTTGAATCTTAATGGCCAGCTCTATATCTACAACATTATAGTTCCACTAGACTCTCCCAAATTGTGCTACGTATTTGACAAACCAGTTAACTCCTATTTTATTTATATTAGAATATAACTGATAGGATTGAAGAGGTAGTCAGTAGTTGATTTCCATGTGTGTTTATATATCCATAGTAATCAAGCAGTTTTTTCCTTCCAAATTTGTTACCTTAAGCAATTCATTTGTTAACTTAAACAGTTCTTTAATCTGAAACTATTCATTATGTCTCTTTTTACATACAGTAAAACAAAGATATATTGAATTAGGCATGTATCCCCATTCCCAAAGTTATACTTATATCTCTGTTTAAATTACACTTCCGGATGTCTCCAAAGTACTTCATCAATCTCTTGCATTTACTCTTACTACTCTCCTCACTCTCCTATATCAGTTTACTACTTGTATACTATCCCAAGTATACATGTTTGGTCCAGTGATTACCAAAATTTCAATGTTTAGAAATGTCACTATACCATTAAAACAATCACGGTGTGATACTGTAAGGTGACATCTCAAAATCTCTATGTATTTTTGACTTGATACAAAGAGTACTGTTCAATCTTTCATTCTTCCGGAAGAATAAATGCTGTATCATTCAGATTTCTATTAAATTTCCATTAAAGAAAATTTTTGTTACTTTTTGTGTTCTTGTCATTAAAGTTCTTAGTATTTTAAAACTGTTACAAAAAAATCTTAATTTTAAAGTTTTTAATCCATCTCAGACTCTTCTCACTCTTTCACTGATCCCACAAAGTCCTTTGTATAGACCCTTTAATTTCTGATATGATTTTTTAAAAAATCTGGTTACTCAACTGGACAAGTCATCGGTTTTTAGGAGATTTCGACTACTTCCACTTTTACTTTTACTTGTTCTGCTCATGAAAGATGATCTGGTTTCACTCGGACTCCAACCAGGTAGTGCAACTGATGTAGCTTTTGACCGTCCAGGGACATTCTCCAGAATATCTTGGCAGCCCATAAGGCGAACTTCCAAAGTACCTGTTAACATAAACAAATGTCCAATAAGAACATCAATTCTAAATACACACAATTTTATTATTTATTCAGAAATAGGGGAGGGTTGATCTGCAAAATCTTTTCTTTCAGAGCTTCTGCCAAGTAACAATCATCTTTCCTATTTTAATTAGAGAAACTTACCAAAAAGTCTTAATTAAGACAACTATGAAGAATTTTATAGGAACAACAGTATCTCCCAAAAGCTGTCTGTGGGCATAAAACAAGTTACATAAACTTTTTGTGTATGTGAATATTCATTTCTGTAACTACTTGAGAGAATTACAGAATTATGTGTTTAGACCATATGGGAGGGGAAACAAAGTGAGATAACATGCCTATTAAAATAAACACATAGAAATTAAAACAAGGAAAACTATTTCAATAACAGCCATGTTCAATAGGCAGATATAGGATTTTTCTTTTTTACACAAATAAATGGATTTCTATTCTACTTGAGATGTAAAATAGTATCTTTACAATCTAATAGTTTAGCTAATCAAATAATTATGGATCATAATTACAAAGGCATAAAATAACTGTAATTTCATTAGGCAAATAAATGTTAAAGATATTCAAATGAAAATGAGGATAGTAAATTAGGTCATCTGAAGGTATGTTTTGTCATCATGTGGGCTAGAAAGTATATTAGAATTTTAAAAGGGCACTTCATTATTAAAAATATTACATGTTGCACAGAGCATAACCCTTTAAGAAGATTATTCCTGATAAAAGCTGTCCCATTAAACTTAAATTATTAACAAATTTATCTAAAGTTTTTATTTAAAGGTAACCAAAGGACTTTTAACAAAATTAAAGGCCTAGATTTATCTTCATAATTGAAACTAAAATATCTGCTTAAATATACAAAAACAGTGTTAAAGGTATTGGCATCAGGCAATGAAAACAATGCTCTCTCTAGAGAGGAAAAACAAATGAGGTAAGTCCTAAGACTGTTCCAGCTTACTACTTTTTTAGAGTATCCACAACACAGAGCAAGGAGGGATTACTAAAGTAAACTACAGGAGTTAAGGAAACACAAATGTGAATACAAAGAGACCAAATGTGGCGAAAGTTCAGAGTAAAGGAAAGAGGACAGTTGTCCAGAGACAGAACTCCTAAGATGTGCAGATGATTCCCCTGACAGTAGTAGAGCACAATTACTACTAAACCATGTGATATTCTGGTCTCACATAAAAAAATCTTAAAAGCAATACCCAAAAGATCAAATTGCTTTCAAATAACTTATCTGACCTAGAACAAAGTTCAAGAATATAGGAATACAAAAATATTCAATGTACAAGCTAAAATTCAAAATGTTTGGCATCTAGTCAAAGGTTACTAGATCTATTTGTATTTATTCTGCATTACACATTAGCACAAATTTAGTGGCTTAACACCCTCTTATGATTTCATAGTTCTGTAAGTCTGCAGGCTGGTAGGCAATCTCTGCTTAAGATCTCTGAAGGTGGGCCTCCCCTGGTGGCACAGGCAGTTGAGTGCCGGCAAAGAAGCTGTCCACAGCCACTGCAGCATGGGTTTGATCCCGGCTGGCAGGCAAGGGTCCCACATGGCACGGCAGACCTCTCCTGTCACACCCGCTGCTCCCCTCAGCAGTGTATTTCGTCAGTCTGCCTGTTCTATTCCCCACTCTGTCTCTGGTGAATCCTCTCACCCTCCCGCGCATCTGGCCTGTACCCCGGTTCTTGTATAAAATAAATAAATCTTAAAAAAAAAAAATCTCTGAAGGCTATGCTGGTTAAGTTCTCAAGAAAAATATACTTCCAAGTTCATTCTCAAGAAAAATATACTTCCAGTTTCTTGCAGATACAGGATTGAGGACCATGTTTTCCAGTTGGTTGATAGTCAAAGGCTGATTTCAATTTAGAGAGGCCACCAAAATCTTTTGCCCCACCCCTCCATCTTCTAGATAGCAATGGCACATAGAAACCTTTTCATGACTCAGGACTCACTTTCCCTCTACCACTAACCAGAGAAAACTCTGCATTTAAGGGGCTCTTATGATTATATCTGAGGTCTACTCAGATAACTGCCCTTTTTATTAATTCATAGTCAATTGATTAGTAACCTTAATCAAACAGGCAAAATTCCCTTTGCCATATAAAATAGTAACACAGAAGGGATGACTCATCATATTCATAGGTGAGGAGTTTTGGGAGTTATTCTTTCACACCATGCAAGCAAATATGTGACAAAATGAACACTACTCAGATATAAAAATGGGTGAAGCATTCACTATTAGCCGACTCATATAAGAGCCAGCCATGCCAATCCCAGATATTTGCTTAAGTGAATTAAACAATATATACATATACACCTATTCATATATTTACACAAAACTGTACAAGGAAGCTATCAGTAGCTATAGAAGAAAAAGTACAAAGTGGAAACAAGATAAATATCAATCATAAGTGAATAAAAAATTCAGTTGTGTAGCCACACAATTGAATACTAGTAATAGTAAATCTAAAGGAACCATTAATATGTGTAACATAAAAATTAAAATAATTTTTCTGCATTAAAAAGATCAGATTTCCTGCCACCTAAGAAAAAAGTATATACTGCATGACTCCATGTATATAAAATATCTAGTGACGGGTCAGTATTGCTTGGAGATGGTTGTGGGGAGAGCACGAGAAAAGCAAGAAAGGGATTTTACAGAGGTGCATGAGGACATATGGATGTCCTCTATTGATGATATCTTTAATAATTATCGATTATGGTGGTAGTTTCTCATTATAAATATATGACAAAACATCCAAACTCTAACTTATACATCATTTGTTGTATGTCAGGAATACCTCAATAAAACTGTTCTAACAAGTGAATACTGATGATGTCGGCACCATCAGTATTTACTAAAAGAATCATGAAAACGGATACTTGAAATGGGGGAATTCTATGTATATAAATTATAACTCAATAAATTTGCTAAAGGGGAGGGAAGGAAGCATCAATTTTAAGTATAATGAATACATTTTTATTTTATTTCAAAAGAAACAACTTGTGTTTGTGTATCTTATTTGCCTTTTTTGTTGTTAAACTGGCAAACTTAGTTCATTTCCACTGTAAATGCTCAGCTGTAAAAGTCATCCTGGGGAAACTGAAAACATCTGGCCACTACTTCAAACCTTGGTTGCTTATTAAATATTTTAGTAATTTCAATATATTAGTAGATGACAATGCTCAACACCTGCTTTCATTTGGAAAAAAAAATTCTAGAGAGATTTAAGATCTTTATTAAACATTTCGAGTTTCTTTCTTTTATGAGGTAACACAACTGCAATTGCATATAACCATATTAGAAATAGCTTAAAGTTACATCTTTTATTTTTATAGCTCACAATATGAAATTTTTAAAACAAGGAAATACAAGAAGTAACTGTTTGTACTCATAAGCAGTAGATAGGAATTCCATCAGAACAAGTAAATGCTTTTTTATTTCTTTTAACTTTCTGGATAAAGTTTCATATACATTTTACTAATTTAGTATTTAATCTCAGTACAACTGAGTAATACTTTTTAATTCTGAGGAAATTTTCTATCAAAAATTAATAATGTCTCAAAATGTGGACCAAAAATTTTTAAATATACCTTAGATCAAAGTAGCAATAAATTTGCAAATTTCAGTATTAACCGCAAAGAAACCAGAGTATAAATTAGACAAATTCACACATAAAAGCATATACTGAACAACTCAGGACAGTAAATGCTCCTACTACTTACTGATACTATCCCACATCATTTCTAATCCTTTATTAATATCAATACTATTTCTAGTCCTCGTTACTCTATATTTAGGGATACTCTAGATCCCTTTTAGAGTTATAGATTTACATCACATTGAGTAGTGTTCAGTTAGGAAATAAAGAACAGGGAAAGAGACTGAAAGGTCAAAGAATTGAGAGGAGACAGAACAGAAAAGGAAAAAAATTTCAGTCACATAAGCCAATTTTCTGAAAAGTGGCTTTAATTATTTTTCTAGAAATACTGTTAATTTTCAAATATTTGCAAACTATATTTTAAATTAGCGAATTATTCAGAAATTCTTTCCACAACAATTCTGAGTCATAAGATGGTAAGTACAGAGTCCACACTTAATCATCAAATCATATTTACCAAGTATCTGTTGAATGTAGAAAGTATTCAAGCTAGGAACTAGAATTATATGTAGATACAAGACAAGGTATTTGATCCTCACAGGTATATAGTTCAGTTTTGATTTCTTAAAAAAAGTTAAAACAAATAATAAAGCAAAGACTTAAAATAGTCACTGTGTACAAGTCAACTTAACTGTGAAAGAAGATTCATGGTGGAATTATAGAAGATGTGGCTAAAAAGATAAATATAAATCCTATAAACGGAAAGTTTAGAGCAGAGGGTCCCAAGTTTCTTATTTCATAGTACACTATCTTAATTGTTTCATTATCCTCTTAGTTTAAAAGATATATCTAACTGTTTGTTTGTTCTATATGCAGGATATAAAAAATTACTACTTGAAAAAATAATATACATAGCATGAAAGAAAAAGTAATCTTATTTCATTCTTACATTACCATGATTATTTCCTAATGGGATAAGTATATGGACTGAGTACTGTGTAACTTCTTAAACTTTAGAATCAAGTTGGAATCCACTACCTTATTTTCTACTCCATATTGATTTTCTAGGAGTATTTACTAAGATAGCAATAGAGGAAAGCCCAGTTTCATCAACATATGACATCCTTGAAAAGAATGTAGTTCCACCTAATGCTGAAACTTAACTACCTGGAGCTAGTAATTTGATGCCTGCAGGAAATACGTAACATTAAATTTCCCTCAAAATTTTAAATTTCCTGTTTTCCCCCAGTGAATTCATTTTGCCATCCCAGAATACCTCAGAAACCTAGAGGAATTCAAGTTGTCTATGGTCATACACCCTGTATGTGCCCAACCTTGTCTGATCGCAGAAAAAATAGGAAC